GTTCAAGTTTGGTACAGGTGCGTATGCCAGTGGGCAGTCGAGGCCTCCAGTAGAGCAGAAGCAAGGTTTAGAATGGTGGGGGAAATACAGCAGCGTAGAGGATAGACCGCATTTGGCGGGAAGCGATGGAGCCGGACGAGGTGGTGGCGGACAGAGAGCATGTCGCGAGTCGGATAGGCGACCAAGAGACTTGTGTTCGCTGCCACTGGCTATTGCATGTCAGAGCTCTGCTGTATTCGTAATGAGATATATTGCATGATATTCTACTGTATTCTACTGTACTGTACACGACCAGTCTGCCTCAAATCGTCTCCCTCGCCTGACTCCGCGGAAGGCCCAGATGCGCTCCCTCGCCGCCGACACCCACCTGTGAGTCCCCGAGTGCTCTCCCAGTGCTCCTTAGATCCCAAAACGACGTCAATGCCAGTCTCTCCATCTGGCACAAAGCAATCTCGGAGCGCCCGCTTCTCCTTGATCTTCTGGTGGATCGGGCTGACGACGGAGGGGGAAGGTTCGTGAGGAAGCGTGATAGACGATGAGGCGTGCGGTGGCATGACGTACCTCTCAACTGTGCACATGAAACGCGTGCCTGTGGATGTCTCGTCAGTACACTACAGCTGCAGCTCCGGACCGGAGTACACACCCATGTTCACACCCTGCGCGAGCAGAGAGTCATTGTGAGCCGGATTCGTCAGAGCGGACGGAGTCGGAGATAGCTGTGTTGCGTGCCACTTACACATGCTCCGAGTGCCAGTGCGGATGCCAGGCCTCGACCATCAGCGAAGCCTCCGGAGGCGATGAACGGGATATCAAGCTCTTGCGCAGCGCGCGCGAGCTGGCGACGTGCGTGTGGTCAGCACCACATCCTGGCACGCCATGAACGAGACGTCGTCGTACCAGGACAAGTCCGCCGATGTCCTCTTCTCCGGGGTGGCCCGCGCCTGAGGGCAATGTCAGACGATACTGTAGCGGATTCGGAACGCGTGTCCTCACATTCGAATCCGTCGATGCTCAAGGCATCAACACCGAGACGCTGCGCAGACTGTTTGCAGGTCAGTATTGGTATTGCACTGTTACATGTGGCCCGGACGGACCTTGGCATGTCGGATCGTCGTGCACTTGTGGATCACGATGCAGCCCTTTGACTTGAAGTATTTGATGAGAGGGCCCGCTAGGGAGGATTCAGCACAAGCGACCGTCCAGACACGACGAAGGCGCGACGTACGGTTGTTACCCGCGGTCTCGAATATCCGGACGCCCTCTTCGACTGCCGCACGTGCATAGCCTTCGTAATCTGGCGGGGTGATGCTGGGCAGCAGAGTGATGTTCACGCCGAAGTTGTTCTTCGTGAGCGTCCTCGTCTCCTGGATGGCCTTCCGGAGCGCATCCGGAGAAGGCTGGGTGAGGGCGGTGATGACGCCTGTTTGCAGAGAGGCCGTATTAGCATGGGTTCACTGCTTGAACGAATGCGATCCGGGCGATTATGAGCCGGGCAAGAAGAGCTGATGCGCAGTGGTTTGAGCTAACCGCCCCGTCTGCTCTTCGGCCCCAGTACTGTTCCTCACACGGACGAGCTACATGGGTGTAGCCCTCGCTAGAGCAGTCGCTGACACGTGCGCAATATGGAGCTAAATACGTGTCAACGAGGCTCCAATGCAACCATAAAATACGGCACGACGGTGCAATAAGCTCCATACTCCGGGGTCGTCCCAACAGTAAGGGAGCGAGCCCAGCTCCATCCCACAGTATCTGGGAGGGTCTGTTCTAGGGACGGACAAGGGTCTCCCCGTGCGCGTAATGACCTGATTCTTACTCATACACGCGCGGGTCCATACCTGAGTAGGTCGGGTACAGGTTCACGTCAGGTACGGGTCACAGGTCGGGTCGATGGAACCTTGACTCGTACCCGTACCCGAACGGGTATATGCCCGGACCCGAGGGGGCTTTACCCGACCCATGTCCATCCCTAGTCTGATAGACCTTATTCGTTTGGGTCCACTGGTTCTTCCCAGTGCTATCCAGCCTCAAAGCTGGTACAGCCCAAGGAATAGTGCTGTTGCATTACAACTAATGCGTAGACTGGCGGATTTGGACGTGTGCGAGACGTCCGGGGCACATGCACGAATATATGACGGAGACACTACATACCTAGCCCCCCCGCATTTGACACTGCCGCGACCAGCTTGGGCACGCCGACCCTGTGAAACAATCAATTAGCAGTTTTATCGAGTATATGATGGCATGGTTGCTTACCATTGCATGCCTCCTTGTACCACGGGCCTAACCGTTGTACGTGTTCAATCCGAGCTATCCTGCCACCAAATCAGAGTGGTTGGAAACTTACACTCGGATGCCGAGCAACTTTGTGAGTTTCGTCTCTATAGGCATACTGGCAAGCTGGCTACGTCTGGAGGTGTGTGTGTGGAAGAGAGGGTAGAGGTGTCAGAGTGAGCGAGATGAAGCAGGTACCCCGGATTGTTGGACACCGGAGCCTTGTACATGTGCCCCGCAAGCGACATGTGTTATCCCTTTCTCCGAGCTTACCGGGGCGCCAAAGTCCCGCCTTCTGCCCCGCCGGTTGCCCAATATGGCAGCAAAATCTGTGACCCGACGGCCGATCCCAGGTCATCGCGCGCAACGGCGGCATCGCGCCTTGAACTCGCTCTCGCTGCTGTCACAGTGAGCGTGGGCGGGCCACTGTGGCAAGGATCGCGCGCAGACTGTATGTCGCTTTCGCTTACTCGACGTTGTACGCACTCGGGCTGGTCGAGAGTGCAGCCGTCTCTATTCGCCCACGTGTCGAGCTTGCGCCGACATCGTTTCCACGTCCGCTGTGAGGTCTGCTCAGCTCCCGCTCGCTCAGCTCCCGCTCGCTCAGCTCTCTGCACAAGCCGCGCCCTCTCCTCCGCTCACACTGCACCCCCGTCCTGCCCTCCGCCCGCTCCCGCCGCGCTCTCCCCGCCGCCCATCCCCCTCAGCCATCTGGTCCGCACCGCCTGCGTCTGCAACCTCGACATATCCCCACTTTGTC